TTACCCAAACATTGTTATTTTGAATTGGATTTGACAAAATAAACTATTGTAGTCAAACTTCTCAAAACACACCTCATATATTTTCATATCATCTCATATATCTACAGCTCTTCATTCCAATGTATGATAAGATTAAGTATTTTATGTTTTTATGATATAACAATTTTTTCATGATTCCATATATAAATAAAAACTGACTTTTAATTGAAAATAATTATTGAAGAGCTGACTTTTAATTAAATAAATAAAAACTTAATATAATAACTGATTTTTTTATGTGACAAAAAAAAACTGATTTTTTCATGATTTCATAAATAATAAAAACTGACTTTTAATTAAATAAAAAATTATTAGAGTAAATTACAATTTTTTTATAGAAAAAAATTATCGTTTGTATCATAATACTTAATATAAGTCAGTTTTATTTATGGGAGAAATTAAAGAAATAGGCCAAATTTTATAGAAAAATTTTAAAAATAGGCCAAATATTTAAAAATTAGAGAAATAGGCCAAATCTTATAGAAAATTAAAAAAAATAGGCTCAAATTTTTTGTACTCTTGCGCCACTTTCTACCGTCCACATAAAAAGATTGTGCGTCTCCCTCACTGATTTTATTAACATGTCGTCGGCAAGACATAACAGGTCATTATGTTTACGCTACGTTCTCTGTGATTTCTTAATGCATTTACTTCTTTATGAATTACTAGTAAACTGGCTTCTTGACTGTAAATAAAATTATCTACTAGATGAAAATTAGGTTCGATTATTAGAGACTACTATTCTTAATTCATAAATCGTTTCACCGACTCTTGATCACTGTTAAATTGGAACTCAAAATACTAGTTAAATACAATATACTAAATTATTAAAAAAAAACACAAAGAGTCACTCACAAGCTCACGTTTATTTGGATAGGGACATGCCAAGTATACGCCAACTGCACCACGAGCGTTGGCACCACGAGCTGCTCATGCAGATCCATCATCGGACAAGCATGTTGTAAGTTGTAAGGGAGCTCTGTCCTCAGCTCCATTGGAGATCCAAACAATCCTGAACCACCTTGCTTAAGCACTTCCCAAAGCTGCAAATGGTGGAAAATAAAAACAAATGAGAGCGAGAGAAGGGGTAAGAAGAAGCATCAGCAAGATGATCAATTTCCGGTCACTAGTGTTAAAGACTTCTGCATCAGCAGAATTAACGTCACCAACGCTGACTGAGTACATTGCATTTCTCTATACAGTCTACAGGTTGCGTTTCTGCCCAATGGTTTCTTCACCAAGGATAGTATTAACTCTGGTTGGTCGAGTGACCGCATCATAGTTTTTACATCTGCTAAGGACTACTATTTCCACATATCTTTATAGTTTTATGTTATAATTAATTTCTAACTATTTTGATATGCATCTGATATTTCAAAATATGAGGTATGTGTCATATCATGGTTTGAAATCCTAACTAAAACTTTTAAAAATTTGGAAATCTCTAAACAAAACTTTTTTTTTTTTATACTATCTCTAAACAAAACTTTAAGACTTGAAAATATAAAAACTATGTAATTACAACATCTTAACCAATATAACACTATGTATATCATATTGATTTAGTCTGTTATTAGGGAGAACTCTGTGGGTAGGTGTAAAATGCAGCTATTTAATTATACAAATCTACCGCAAACGCACTAACATTTCTTTCGAATCATTGAAAAAATATTCGTTTTTTATTTAATAGGAATATGGATGGAAATGGAATCTTACATATAGAATCTTAGGACATAATGTTTTAGGTGAGACCAATATAAAAGTATACGTCAGATCCCGATGGACGTTTTAAAAAGACTAGAAGATATTACAACAAAAGAAAATGGATCCACTGAAAATCGAAAAGAAAGTTAGATAAACTTTAGTTATTATTACGTTTATATTTTAATTTAAAAAAATAAAGAGATTGGCTTACGTGAGCACATGTGGCAGACACGAAGTTGAAGACAACACCATCAACGGTACTCGTATAACCACATCTCTCTAATGTCCGTTTCAAATTGGGCTCCATTTCATTTATTTCCACACCATTCATGCTTAGTACTCTGTCTCTGTGTACTAGCTTGGTTTGGATCCGCTAGTGCTAGTGGTGTTATCATTTCTACAAAAAAACAAAAAAATTTAAGTATAGAAATTCGATTTTACGTCCCCGCAAAAGATTGAAGTTCAGTTGACAACAACAAACTTTGCGCATGAAATAACTTTCTAAGTTGATTCAATTTAGATGATAAAACGGACTTGTAACCCTTTGCATTTGATATTTACTTGTCATATTTTTAAGAGAACTTATCATCTAGAATTCAAATGGTGTTTTTTTCTCTTGAAGACAAAATTTCTTAAATGACTTTATATGTTCGATAAGTTTAAGTAGCATTTGATAACCTAAAAATTTGCGAGTTTTCTTGGAGACAAAATAGCCTCAAGCAGCTTTCGTGATGACGGGATAGACAACATCAGAATCTCATTTTAAGAAGCGTTGGTGTTGGTCCATTATTTTTATATTTTTCATAAATTTATATGAAAAACATAATATTGCTTAATGCTTTGTCATAATAGCAAAAGTGTAGGCTCAAATAATATGAAAACATAATGCTCAATGCTTTGTCATAAAAGCAAAAGTGTATAAGCTCAAATAATATGCAATAACTTATTTGTATTGAAAATTTACTCAATAAACTGACCGACGAGAAATGTTCGTCCTAATTTATTTTCTCTTAAACACGGGTTTTGAAACGTCGCTTTGTTAATTTCATCTTCATCTCAGCACTGAGAATGAATGATCTTCGTCGAGCTTGCTCCGGTTTCCCAGCGTGCTAAGTATCGATTGCCGCCATCTTCTCGGGAACTCCTCTAGTTCCCCAAAGACTTGTCTTCTTTCTGGGAGGAACTGGTCGATTTTTTGACCTCGCCGGTGACGTCTCCTCTCTCTCATCATCCCTCAAAATGTCTCGGGGATGAAACATCCTCCTCTTCCGCCGGAACCATGACACAGATTCTCTTTACCGTCTGCTTCTATGTTATCGTAGCCACTATCTGCTCACCGTCAACGACCATACCGACAGATCCACCACCTCCCTTTACCGTGGATCTACCGGCGACTCTTATGGGAGCAATAGTTCACCTCCTTCTCAGTCTCCGACTTTAACTTTTGCTCCGCCAACTATAATGCCCTTTCCCTCGCCGAGATCTCAAGTTGACCTCTCTGGCTAAGCCAAACTCTCTCTCACCGTTCAAGATCTCTGCTCCGGTAAGAGATTCGACTTGGCTCCGACTTCCAGTCTCTTGCCACCCTTCCTGGCATGGATTCGTTGCTCCGACCACTTACTGGCGTGCTTCCGCCACTTTCCCAACTCCCCAAAACCCCATCTCCCTCTCGACATTAACCAACAATAGGTTTGGCCCAGCTTGATTTGTGGGCTTTGCACCCCAACAAGCTTATGTTTTCCTGGCCCATCATCTTTCGATTACCAAGATAAGCTAAATTCCAATGATGAATTTCTGTGTGATTTTGACTGGATTATTATCACCGGTTATAAGAGGATGACATTATTACCAAACTCCTCCCTAGTGGAGAGATCAATTCCAACTTCCTTCTTTTTCGCGGAGAGATCAATTTCACCATCTTTCCCTACGAGAGAAATAATGTTTCCATTTTCTTCCTTCTCTTTGAGAATGGTCGTACCTTCTTCCCTCTCTTTGAGAATTGTCGTATTCCCAAGCTATGCGCCAAAAACTTTTAAAAATTTTCTCACCGTCTTGTTTTCTTATGCTGCCCTCTCTGAACCAGAAGAAGCAGCCGGTTTCGTTTCGACGATTACCGAAAGTAGAAATTTGATTTCAACGTCACATTGAAAGTGACCAATCTTAGACAATCCGGCTTTGCCGCGAAGTTTCTCTTGACGCATTTGAGGCATGCCTTGAATCCGCTGTCCATCTTTCGAGATGATCTATCTGCTCTATTTTTTTATTATGTTTCAATTATATTGTAGTATGTTTAGAGAATGTTTAATTATCTCTTTTTGTACTGTGAAAGTTTAAGTTTATGAAGTAAGTTTGTGAAAAACAAAAAAACTTATTTGTATTGGACTTTGAAAAGGTATAATCACAAATAGTTAAGAAACCAAATGAAACAATTAGATATGTATCAAACAGTTAACAAGAAAAACACATAGAATTATTGTATTATCAAATAAAAATAGGTTTAAACTCTCTTGCTAATTCTATTCTCTTGGCTTTTTTTTTTTTTTTTGAAAAAGGGTTTTCTTTTTAAATGTAAAAGTAACTATTACAATGATATGATTGTGATATAGTTTAAGAGAGTGTTTTATGATAAAACATTAAGATTACAACAAAATAGACTTTTGAGAGAGTTAGAAAAACTCTAGAGAATAAACTTTTTAGAAACTCTGGAGAATAAACTCTTGGCTTTCTGATAAAGAATAGGGTGATTAGCAACAATAGCCAACAAAAAAATTATATTTGTAATCTAATAAAAATAGCATGATGTGGAGAAATGGGAGCCACTAGATTATGACCATTTGGTTAGTTAGTGAAATATAATTTTTTTTTGAGGTTATTTTAACCAATTTTCCTAAAGAATATATGTTCAATCAAAAATTTCGTTTCTCGTTATAGAAACTTCATCCTCTTTACTTTTTTTCGGCAATGACATAAAGAATTGGCGACAACTCTCCTCTAATGCAAGATAATCGATTGCAACTCAATACAACTAGCTATAATAGTTTGAATTGGATTAGGTATCGCATGCCACAATCAACAGAGATTCAAATCGAACTTTTTTTTTGTCCAATAATTATTTTTGTTTCACATTTTCAATTTCTCACCGTTTTAATCTTCAAAAATTTTATCTTGAAAAAAGACCAGATGATTCACGTAGTTATCCTTTACTACTTTGTTACATTAGATTAATAAATAAATGATTTCGAGTTTTTAGTATTTAAACGGAGTAGATTGGATATTCAAAATTTTAAAGTATTTTCATGTATATGAAATTTTTATGTGTAAAGCGGATCGCAATTTTATTTAAATATCTAGTAGAGATGAAATGGATCGAAAATACTAGTTTTTCCCAAACATATATGCTATGTAAGAATAGAGTCGGTTCTGCCCCATACCTTACCCGTTTATACTTTTAAAATAAAATTAAAAATTAAAAAAA